TGAATACAGGTGGCCCAGGTAGGCAGTGAGAGGTACAGAGTGGATCCCCTCAGGGGATCACCCCCCTCCATCTTCTCCTCACACCCAGAACATCCTATCCTAGGTAAACACTCTCCCACTGAGCTATGTCCCCAGCCCTGTGAATGTATTAAAGCCCACCAGCTTCCTTAGATCTGATCCCACCGCTGTTCAGTGATGGGTTGACCTCACACTTAATACTTGGGTGACTGTGTCTTTGGAAGAATTTCTTCATCTTGCTTTGGGAGTCAACAGGCCAGGTTCGCAGGGCCTGTCTGTCTCCTACTGTCTGCAAGGATGCTCTTGGTCTTGGCAGCTGTGGGACCGTGGAGAGGGTGGGCAGAGATGTCTCCAGGGAGTGTAGGGCGGAGCTGGGTCTGTGTGGTTCTCTATTTCCATCACAGGAAGAAGGCCTGTCTCTAGTCGGAAGGAATCACTTCAGCCCTGAGGTTTGTAGGACAGTGTGTCAGCTGCGGATTGTTTGTTTTCTAGTCCCAAATTAGTCACTTGGCATCAGATTGCTCTTGGATGACCTGAAGCTGTGGGGTTTCCAAGGAAGTCTGAAAATGACCTTTACATGACCTTCCCTGGACCCCTGCTGCTCCTTAATGCCTTTGTTTTGCAACCTAAGTTATTGGGAACATTTTTATGAAGAAGGAACCTCATGCATTCTTAACAGCCCCTGAACAGGCTCTGAAGCCTGAACACTCATAGATACCCATGCCTCTGCAGAAGCCTGGGGGTGGGGGCTATTCAAATCCTCGGCAAACCTTCAATAAACTACTCATGTGCCTGTTAGCAGGCCTTTCTACGCACAGCAGTACTATAAGCAGGTAATTACAATTAATAACAATAATAAAGTTTTTAAACCTAAATTTCCCTGTTCTTTCTCCAGGCAGATAGCACAAAATAAATATTAAGTTTTCATCAAAAACATAATCTTGTTTTCCAAAGCCGAGAGTATACAGGAGTCCTGAGCAAGAAATCACAGCCATGAGGAAGGAAACCATGTGCCTGAACACCCGCGCCCCCCGCCCCCCCCAAGCCTGGGGAGGTACAGGACCCAGCTCTGCCTTTAATCCCCTTCGTACTTTGGATAGCCTTTGGTGAGAACTCATGTTTGCAGAAGGTAAAGATACCACTGGCTGGGAAAAGAGGAGAACTTAAAAAACAACAGGTAAAAATAACATCATTTACTGAGTGCCAGGGCCCTGGCAAATAACTCACAAGACCCATGCCATTGCCCCTACTGTGTAGACAAAACACAGAGGGACAAGCTGAGAAAAGTGTGCCCTCATTTAAAGTTACGCAGCCAGAGAACGGGTGAGCTAGAGTACAAACCCACATCCCAGCAGTTTCTTCTACCCCTCCATATTCTCTTCTCTTGCCCTTACTTCCTCCCCTTAAAAAAATCACATTATTGAACTATAATTTACAAACAACGGCAACCCTTTGAAGTGTATAACCCAATAATTCTTAGTGCATTTATTGCATTGTACAGCCATCGCCATTAGCTAAGTCACCTCAATTTTTTTGTCACATCAGCCCTCCGCCTCATGTCAGGTATAATTAACCTGCATTCTTACCTGTGTCCCAGGATTTCACTGCTCTCCTTTCTGTTTCTCAAGATCTGTCTTTTAGCTCTTAGGAAATATACTGAGTCCCACAATATGTAGTCTTGTACGTGTGGCTTCTTTTGCTTAGCATCGTGTTCCTGGTTCAATCATGACTTTTTAAAATTGGTAATAGGATTCTGTTGCGAGGCGATACAACGCGATAGTCATCAACTCACCCACTGACGGACCTGTGAGTTCCGCTCAGGTTTTGATCACCAGGTGCAGCAAGTCGGTATGAGGAAATGGATACTTTTATTTTTCTTGGCTTAGGAGTGGAGTTGCTGGGTCATGTGGTAACTGTGTTCAGCCTTTTCAAGAATTTTGAAGTGCTGTTTTTCAAAACAGATATCCCATTTCCCATTGCCATCAGCAGTGAGTAAGCATTTCAGGTTTTCCACGTCCTTGCTAGCATTTGCCATGATTGGTCATTTTCTGTTTTCAGAGTCACCCTGGGGGTGGGGGCTGTGGGCTCTTCATGTGGTTTTGATTCACATCCCCCCCTAACGACAGAAGGGGTTGAGCCTCTTTTTCATGTCCTCCCCAGCTCTCCACAGATGATCTTTGGAAGTCAGTCTGCTATTGATTTTAACGATTCCTCTTGGTCTGTCTGTCTGTCTGTCTGTCTGTCTCATCATTAAGGAAAAGCTGTGCCAATGTTGTTGATCTTTTCAGAGAATTAACTTCTAGCCTCATTGATTTTTTTCCCTGCGTTTCCCTCTGTTTGAGCCATTGGTTTCCTCTCCAAACTTTATGAACTCCCCTGTCCCTGTTTGCCTTGAGTTTAGTTTGCTCTGCCTTTATAGTTTAAGATAAACACTTGGTCATTGATATTTTTAGTGTTTCACTTGGAATCGAGGCCATCCCTCTGAGGGAAATGGTGGTGTTCCTGGTTCACCAGGTCCTGGTAGGATTTCCTCACCTCTACCTTCAGCACTGGGGCTGGGGACAGAAGCATGTGGCAAGGATGCCACAGATGCCCAGACTTTACTCAACCTCTCCAAGTCTTTCGGGAATAGCGGCTCCCGACCTGCTGGATTCCGATGACCATTTCTGACATTTTTCTTTTTTCTTTTTGTCCTGTTTCAGTTGGTTTTCTTCCCTCCACAAGAAATCAAGTCTTGTTTGGGCTGATCCATCCCTCAATCTCTCTCTCCTAGAGTCTCATAGGGTCATGGGGAACAGTTCATTTTAAAAGATACTTAAGCCTCAACACACTGTGCCTCTGGGAATCTGCATGTACAGCAGAGAAGTCCAATAGCACCCCCGATGCATCCCAGACATGCAAGGGAGGTAGGACACCCAGCCCTCATACCGCTGCTCTGGCAGAGGCTCCTGCAGTGGCCCAGAGGGTCAGAGCACACACTGGCTCACCTTCTGTGGGTTTCCATGAGGCAGAAGACTTTCCCGATACATGCTGATTGAAATGGCCCAGACTACAAATCCAGCCTTCTCCTAAAGAGAATTGGCCCTAGCTTTTCGTCTCCTTGGGGATACAAGGAATGGGAGGGGACAACGGCTCCAGCTCTGGGCTTGCTCTTATTGAAGCCCCTCTTTGGGGGGCGGGGGTACGCTCTCCTTGTTTGTAAAGGAGAGCAAGAATAACTTTATCTTCACAGAGTTACTTAGATGTGAGAAAAGTTCCGTGATAGTCACTACCATCCTTACAAATGACTGAAGTCCTTATAGAAGGCTTGCAGTGTGTCCCAAGATACAGTGGCTAGAGAAGAGATTCTCTCCCCTGCTCCCCCCCACTTCTTTCTCTCTTCTTCTCAACTTCAGAAAACAAGTTGGTTGCAGAACAGCCGGTGGCACCATGGTCTCCCAGCATGGAAGACAGCCTACCCCCTTCCACATGGCGGGGATGAAGGAAGGAGCAAAGGCCGAGAGAACGACACAGCCCTGCTTTGTCCTTGGGGGATGGAAGAGCTTTTCTAGCCCTGGCCGCACCTGTACCTGCTTGTGCCATGGCAAAGGGGCATCTCTGCAGCTTGAGCGGAGGCTGCGAAGGGTACCAAGGGAGAAATCCCTGCTGGGTGGCTTTTTCAGGCCTAGTCTATACGATCACTTTGAGTCATCACAGGCCGACTGCCATCGTAACCAGACTTACCGGTGTGCCCCGGTGTGCCCCAGTGTGCCCCAGCAACCAAGCTACACAGCCACGAGACACACTGTTGAGAGCATTGACTCACAAGAAAAGGTTCAAACTTTGAAAGGGTGTTGTGATAGACATTAGGATGCTGTGAATTCTAGCTTCAGGCTTTAATTTCTAAGGACAATAAAACTGCATTTCAGCATACACTCCTGGTCCGTATCGCTGTGGTGTGTAAGGAAAGAAACCCCAGATCCTAGGCTGGATAAATAAGGCAGTCTAAGATGTAACTTTGCCTTGTATGGTGGCTTAATATTGATCATCAACTTAACAGGACCTAGAGCCAGCCGAAAGACAAGCCTCTGGGACTGTCTGTGACAGCGCTTCTCAGCCTTCCTAATGCTGCCACCTTTAATACAATTCCCTGTGTGGTGGTGACTCCAACCATAAAATTATTTTCATTACTACCTCACAACTGTAATTTTGCTACTGTTATGAATCATACTAGAAATAGCTGTGTTTTAGACAACCCCTGTGAAAGGGTCATTCGAACCCAAAGGGGTCGTGACCCACAGGTTGAGAATCACTGGTCTAATAAGGCAGCTTCTTGGGTAGATTAATTGTGGTGGATAGAGGCACTTTACCACTGTATGGTACTGTTCTGTGGGCTAGGGGATTAGGACTGAATGAACAGGGGAAAGTGGGTTGGACCCCAGTATTCATCTCTCTGTTTCCTGATAGCAGACACAATATGACCAGTTGCCTCGGGCTCCTCCACCATGATTTCCCTACCAGGAGGGATGTACCCTCCACCAGTGAACCAATACAAACCCATCTTTCTTTAAATCCCTTTGCCCGATGTTTTGTTGCAACAATGAGAAAAGTAACTAATATACTTAGCTTTAATTATGGAAATTAGGCAAGCCGCCATGACGGGCAGAGAGCAAGAGAAACAGTTTCAACTACTGAGGTGCTGGACCAGAGCAGAATCCGATGCTTGAGTTTCAAAGAAACGTGTGGAAACCTTGCTCACTGGAGGGCCTTCTTGCATGCTGCCACAGCCCCTGCCTCAGCTCTGCAGCACCCCCAGTCTTACCTCGACCACTTCTCATCCCAACCTTCTACTCGGGTCATCTCTTACGGCCTCCTTCCTTCCCGGTCACTCTTCATGCCAGCCAGCGCCCTGCCCTCTGCACGAACACCCCCGCCTGTCCCCCACTTTGGAGCCAGCACTGGTGGGGAGTGACCACAGGCTAAAAGCAGAGCTTCAGCGTTACCTATTTGCCTTTCCAGATCAGCAGCTTCATCAGGAGTGGCTCGAGGGAGGACTCCCGGGTCACTGAAGCTAGTCCGAAGCAGAGTCCCCATCACAAAGAAGAACAGGATGCCACCGACCACGGGGATGGCGGGGGTGATGTTCACCGCGAGGTATGGACAGCTGCCAGCAGATTGCAGAGAGAGAGAGAGAGAAGAAAGGAATTACAGTGTTAGGATCCACAGTCACAGTTCCGACCTTCCAAGAAGCAACATCATCACTTCGCTGAGTGAGACTGATTTCTATTAAAATCCCTCTGGGCTGGGGAATGTGGCTCCGTGGGAGGCACTTGCCCAGCAATTGTGAGAACCTGAGCTTGGATCCCCAGAATCCATAAAGTAGCACGTGTTTGTAATCCCAGAAATCTTAGGGAGAGAAGGGAGACTGAGACAAGAGTCCTCCCAGAAGCTCAGTAGCCAGCTAGCCTGGCATATTCCATCCTGAACTAATAAAAAGGCCTTCATCTCAAATAAGGTGGGCAACAAGGGACAAAATCCCAGGTTGTCCTCCAACCTCCACCTGTGAGATGTGGCATGTGCATACCCATGCTCACACACACATACACCCACACAAGAGACGAATTTACATTTTAAAAAAGAAAATTTAGGCTGGGTGGTAGTCATGCACACCTTTAATTCCAGCACTGGGGAGGCAGAGGCAGACAGATCTCTGTGAGTTCAAGGCCAGCCAGTCTACAGAGAGAGATCCAGGACAGTCAGGGCTATACAGAGAAACGCTGTCTCGAGAAACCAAAAACAACAATAAGAACAACACATTTAGATCTGGGGTGGTCTGCAGTGCTCTCTGTGACAACCTCTACACTCCGCTGACCAAGACAGTCCACGCTCCACAAGAGCGATGCCAGCAGAGTGGAAACAACCCTGCTTGTACAATCGATCTAGAATGTCTGTAGCTTGAATAAATACACACCATCCCTTTGCATTGTAAACACTTGTGGGTCCAAAGCCCCCACCCATCTCTGGAGCCACAGACGATGAGGTCAGTTTAGAGACAACTCAATCCGACCCACCTGGGTCAAACCGCTCGGGAACTGTCTGTCAGCATAGCGTTCGCTTGCAAACACCAAGGGATCATTGGTCAATATTGTGGGGGCAGTTTGTCCAAAAGAGGGTGACAAGTCATAGAAATGAGCTTGCAGCTCTGATGAGCAGGGGAGGGGAATCACTGGCTGAGCCACACCGACCCCATGCTTTCCCAGAAAGCACCTGGAGAATCAACTCGTGAGTGTGGGCCAGCTGTTGTTATTTTTGTTTTGTTTGCTTTTAAGAGATGGGGTCTTTCTTGGTTCCCCAATCTGGACTTCACACCCTGGACTCAAGTCATCCTCCTGTTTCAGCTTTCCAAGTAGCTGGAACAACAGCTGTTTGCCACTATCCGCCCTTAATCCTGCGAAATCCTGTTGACTGTGGGCGGACAGAGGAACAGGTGCTGTGGGGACTGTGCAAGTCGAGGAGTCAGTTTGTGGTGGGACCTGGCACCTGACCCCTGGCCTCATATTGTGGTGTGGTGGGGCTGGGTAGGTCCAAGCGTTGGGCTCTTGGCCTGCTGTCATGGTGTCTTGGCACCACAGAGGTGATGCGAGGTAGAGGGAAGAGTTAGCCTGGGACTTAGTGAAGGATGAGGTCTGCCATGGCTGTCCTTAGTCTCTTGTGGCCACATTAAGTGTTGTCATGGGTATGGAAGAACCATGGCACCCCAGGATCACAGTGTCTGGGGTGGGGGTGGGGGTAGAGGAACTCCTAGCTTGTTCTCAAAAGCAGCAGTCCTGGCTGTTCAAGTAAAGAATGGAAGCCAGACATGAAGAAGGTGAGCGCTGCTCAGATATGGGAGGTGGATAGGGGTGTGGCTCCCATTTGTGTACTAGCACCCCACTTTGTACAGTCTCTGGTGGGATGCCCAGGGGATACTTCTAGGAGTTGTCAAGGGCCACATGACAGGAACCACTTTGGTGAAGGAGTCGAGGCCTTTCAGAATCTTTTGCCATGAAGAAGCCCAGAGACTCCCCATGACTTTAAGAAGGTGGCGGGATGGTCCCAGATATGAGTTGTATGGAGACTGATTCCCTGCTGGCCATGTGGATTTGTTTCTAGGAAAGTCACCTGACTATACATGACACCCAGAGCATTTCCAGTGCCTCTGTATAGCCACTCCTACCAACTCTGTTGCAGAAACAGAGTAAAGCAAAATCACCCCATAAAATAGTGCGACGTCACACTCCAGCTGGGCTGACAGTTGTGATGTTTCTTCATAGGATTAGAAAAACAAAACAAAACAAAACAAAACAAAACAAATCAAAACAATAGATCATTGTTATTCTTGCACCAACTCCAGGACATCTGAACAGCTCTGAGCATCCCCAGAGAGTCTCACAGAAAGTGAGTTTGGTATGGAGAGTATGAAGATACAGAGGACTTTGCTTAGTTAAAAAAAAATGTAAGAAACATTGGCCCCAGAACCTCCTGTATGGGGTGACTGTGCCCCAAAGTTCTTAATCTCCAAAGTGACTGTCCCAAGACTTGGAGGCTTTAAGAAACAACTAAGCCCCAAGGACCCTGCTCTTGCCAACTGATTGATGTTTCCAGGAGATGTTCAGTACTTCAAGAGTGTGTTTGCTGTAAAATTGAGTTCAGCCCTTGTAGTGGTTTGAAATAAAATGCCCCCCCAAAGGGAGGGGTACTAATGGGAGGTGTGACTATGGTGGAGTAGGTGTGGCCTTATTAGAGGAAGTATGCACTGTGAAGGTGGGCTTTGAGATCTCATATATGCTCAAGCTCTGCCCAGTGTCTCAGACTACTTCCTATTCCCTGTATGTCAAAATATAAGAACTCTCAGCTCCTTCTCTAGCACCACGTCTGCCTGCATGCTGCCTTGCTTCCTGCCATGATGAAAATGGACTGAATATCTGAACTGTAAGCCAACCCAATTAAATATTTTCCTTATAAGAGTTGCCATGGTCGTGGTGTCTCTTCATGGCCATAGAAACCCTAACTAAGACAGTCCTCTTCTGAATGCCCTTTATCTTGCCTCTTATCTTCTGCCATGGGGAGATGTAGCACTTACTAGGAGGAGGCCCCCTGATCTTGGGTTTCCCAGCCTCTAGAACTGTCAGAAATGAATCTATGCTCTTTGCAAATCACTCAGTCTTGGGCATTCTGTAATAGCTTCATGAACTTGACCGGCATACCCCTTTGGAAGAATAGTCACACATCACAGAAATGCCTCTTCAATTTAGTGGGTATTGCTGGGTGTGAAGGGCATCTGTGCTTCTCTCCAGAGGCTTCCAGCAAAAACTGACACAATTAACACTCTTTAGCAGGCCTCCACCTTCTCCAAAACGTTTGATTTTGTGATAGTAAGTGCTGGACAGCTTCTAGTTAAATACTTAAGGAACTAGGAACTCCACAACCAAGCCATTAGCTGTTCTCTTATAACCCTGAGCCTGCAGATTGTGTCCTCTCCCTTCATACTCTGGTATGCAGATCTACTCAAATGGCCTTCCATTGTCTGGGTCTGGGTTTCAGGGTCTAGCATAGAATCTATATTTCAACTTGAGACATGAAGATGATTGAGAAGCCTCATCAGAAATGACTGTTTCCCCATTAGATACTTAATACAAAACAACCACCAAAATCTCAGTACTATATCAAACTCAGAACCCAGAACATCTATAAAGGGCCCACATGTGTGAGAGGGTATGGTGGATGATACCTTTGCGGAGGGTGTCTTGGTTTTATTTGCTATTGCTGTGATTAAAAAACACCCTGACATAAGCAACCTAAAGGAAAAAGGGTTTATTTGGCTCACAATTACACGTTGCAGTCAATCATGGTGAGGACATGTAGGAGGCAGGAACGTGAAACAATTAGTCATGTTACATTCATAATTAAGAGCAGACAGTGATGAATTAATATAAGATGCTGATAGGAAATATGACCACATTTATGGTGGGTCTTCCCACTTCAATTAATCCAATTAATAAATCCCTCACAGGCAACAGGCATACTCACGGCCAACTTAATCTAGCCAATGTCTCCTTGAGTCTCTCTTCCCAATACATTGTGGCAAGTTGGCAGTCTAAACCTGCCACCACACCGGGCACCGTTAGCATGTCCATAAGGCACCTACATTCAGCCATTTCAAGTCCAGACCTTGAACTGTTACCTCAGCTGGCAGTAATAAGATAGAGACTCTGATCTTGGAGCTCATTAAAAGCTTGTGTCATGCCATGCAGATGCTGGCTTTGTTTCTCTTATTGCCTTTTAAAAAGCAACCTCCGTTGTGTGACACCTTGGAAATGTGCCAGTGTGTGGCCACCAGAAATAAACCATCCATGTTCAATTCAACCAAAGTGAGAAACTCACTGACGTTGACAGCATGCATCGGCGATGGGAGAGGTCCCTGCCCTTAGGAAATGCACATTGCAGAATTTAGGAACAAAGTACAAAGGTCTGAGCAGTTTTCAAATAGTTTAGAAAGAGTATGGCATAGGGAGATAAAACGGAATAAATATTTATAGGTGGATTTGAGTAAAAAATGGATATATGTTATTATTCTTACTGCAACTATTCCATGACCTCCAGTTTGCTGAAGCCTGTAAGTCCTTTCTTTCATGTGGAAGCTGAGGAGTTTCCCTTCTGTGTGGCTTCCTCAGGGTTGATAAGGAGAGACTATTCCACAGCTCACTGAACTACTACTGTGTGTCACATGCACATTCTGTAAGCATTTGTCAGGCTCTTTGGGATCTTCCCCGCTCTGAAGCTCTTGGAGATGAGGTCTTTAAGTCAGTATAGCTTTATGAAATAGTGAGTGCTTGGTGACGGCTGTCCTCGTTCACCAGCCTCCGTGTGACCAAGGGCAGTGCTAAATTCTCTCGGGATGTCCCCATATCTCCTTTATCAACACTGCAGGATTCCAGCGTCTACGCAATGGCATCTGTGGTGGAGAGACAACTTCCGACTGAAGTTCAGAAGAAGCTGAGAGCATCTATAGTCCTGGTAGCGACAAGCAGTATGGAGACCCTGCCTTTGACTGTGACTGTGGATGTATACTGCCAGGAGGAAGGAGATGGGTGGGCAGCCTGCCAACCCGCAGCAAGTGGCAGC